ATTTAGCAGACGCTTTTGTCCAAAGCGACTTACAAATGAGGACAATAGAAGCAATCAAAACCAACAAAAGAGCAATAATTTACAAGTGCTATATTAGTATATTATTATAGTGTTATATTTCAATTTCACAAAGAAACGTACAGTATTTTGTCCAAGCAATAATAAAAGGACACATTTAATTTATAATTTGTCTTAAATCTCATTTTGTAAAAAAAATAATTGTGAATCGAATCGAATCGTGAAATCAAAATCGGGAATCGAATCGAATCGTGAGTTGAGTGAATCGTTACATCCCTAATTATAATTCGTTTTTAGAGTCTGGAAAATGTATTTTTAATTTCGGTTTTACCTGGTAAGTTTTAATTTTAGTTTTCATATATGATGATAGCACCGCTGGTCCAAACAGTGTTCAAACTAATTTTTTTTTATAGTACCTCTACAGATATATTGAAATACTGAAATATTCTGAATGGATTTAAATATGAAAATATATTAAATAATGTGTTCATTTGAACTGAGAGACCACTACACTCTTATTGGTAGAAGAAAACTGTAATCAAATTTACCAAAATGTTTAATAAACAAACACACAGGGAGGTGGTTCATTTGTAGAATGATGGCCGTTGTAAATCTCCAGAGCTTTGCATGTGGGCCTGTTTGTTACTTATACCACCAGCAAGGATCCTAGAATACGCCGGAGGCGATTACCATGTGTGCTCAATTAATGAAAAATAAACAAGAACACTAGATTATTTCACATGCTCTTGTTATGATCTTCTATTCAGTGGAGGGAAGAATGAGCCAGAACCAGAACAACCGGTGCCACGGAAAGTGGCGATCCGCACACTACCCTCTACTGAGGACATCGACCCAGATGTGCTTGAAAGCATGTACTCGCTCGGCTGCTTCCGAGACAAGAACAAACTGATGAAAGACCTGCTGTCAGACGAGTGAGTAACTAAGAAAGAGACGCTCACCTCGGGAAGGTTGCTTCCCGTGATACCAAAGTTTTATTGCCCATGATTAGACAAGACTGAGTGCTTTTGCTTTTGGAGACCATATGTGTGAGTGTAGTATTATTTTACATCCTTGTTTCTTAGGGTTAGTAAACACGCAGTACAGAATCTTGGCTGCGGGCTATTAGAGAAGCCCATTCACTCCCGTTCATCTGTCATCTCCTGTACTTGCACAATTACCGCCTGCACGCTTCACTGTGTGCGATCAACTTCGTTAGCCCCACTGATAGATGGCCTGGGTGTTCCCTCCTAAAATATTGTGGCCTCTGTCTCTTCTCTTGCCCAGCATTTAAACAATTCAGATGGTGCCTGCAACAAAGACCGGTCATATTTACTTCCCGCTGTGTGGTCCAGGGCAGAAAAAATCAACACAAGGTCTCTCGCTGGGAGAATTTGAAGACTTTTTGAACTCGTCCAGACTCTTGTCGGATGTTTTATGTCTTTGTGCATCATTAATGAAATGAGAGATATCCTGTGATCTCTGCAGGATGTCTTTTAGCTCTCAGGGAATGAGGTGCATGCTACACTTTGCTCTTTAACTAATGAAGTTAATTAGCCTGAGCTGAGGATTATTCTGGAGATTGTACTGTATATCAGACAACTGTCTTGACCACACATGCTTTTTGTTTCTTTGTGCCCTCTCAACCTCCAGTGATAACCAGGAAAAGATGATCTACTTCCTCCTGCTGGACCGTAAAGAGAGATATCCTAGCCACGAGGATCAGAATCTACCACCCAGAAATGAGATTGGTACGAACAGTTCAGTCAGTTTATTTGTTATGTATTTGATTTGTTCATTTATATTTCTTCCTTAATGACAACATGAAATGGCATTCACAGCAGCTTTGTGATGTGACATAATTTCCTCACCCACACAGCCTTGGATACACCAGTAGACACAACAGGTTGTTTAAAAGCCAGAAAACAGCATTTTGATGAAAGATCATGAAAACATAATTTTCTATAGAACAATGTGTTTACTGATGTATCATACGCAATAAATACCAGGGACATTTATTGAAGTCAGCGGGGCCAATTTTAATTTACACTAAGGTTTGGGTTCAGTAAGATTTTTTAATGTTTGTGAGAAAAGTCTGTGATGCTGCATTTATTTGATCAAAATACAGTAAAAATAATAATAATAATAATATTGTGAAATATTATTACAATTTAACATGCCTGTTTTCTCTTTAAATATATTTCAAAGTGACACTTTTCCTGTAATGACAAAGCTAAATTTTCAGCAGCCATTACCCTTTAATTTTCATCATCACATGATTGCTCAGAGATCATTCTAATGTACTGATTCAGTGCTCAAGAAACATTACTAATTGTTAATGTTGAAAATACTTGTCCTGCTTAATATTTTTTGTGGAAACCGTGATTTATTATTTTTTTTCCAGGATTTTTTGATGAATAGAAAGTTCAAAAGAACAGCATTAATTTGAAACAGAAATCTTTTGTAACATTATAAATGCCTTTACTGTCACTTTTTTATTGTTTTAATGCATTCTTGTTGAATAAAAGTATTAATTTCTTCTAAAAAAATATGTTACTTGGATTTACATGCTTTGGAGGGCTGAGAGACATAATGAAAAATATTCACTGTTCGATTTTTCCCATTATGAACTCCACAGGCATAATGGGCTGTTTTCATGTGTCAGGGATCATTGAATTTATCATATGCTGGTCTCTTCAGATCCTCCCAGGAAGCGAGTGGACTCTCCACTCTTGACAAGGCACAACAAGAGGAGGCCAGAGCGCAAGTCTATGGAGGTGCTGAGCATGACAGAGGGTGGATCTCCTGTTCCTGTGAGACGTGCCATCGACATGGCACAACACGGACAGAGGTACAGCAGCGCATCTCTTCCTCCTCTATTATTTATGAAACTCTACAATCGGAGCAGTGAGTGCCACAGTAAAAATGGCTGAAAGGATGTCACATTTTGTGGAGCCTTGAAAGGGAAAATTGAAGACAATAATGTATGTTAAAAAATAAATAAACTTTGGATTGGCAAAATGAAGTTCACAGTTAACAGAAGCTGCATACTAGCTTTGAAATGCATTTTAAATTGCACATGACGAGTAAAAGAAATAAGATCAATGAGCTCAGCTTAATTCTTTGAAAAAGGAGTTCTTACTATTCTCTGAAAATCCTATTCTCAGCTATTCGAGCAGCATGCTGAATGTGCCATATGGGGAATTTTGACTTCTCAAATTGGTTTTAAGGGGAACAATGGGATTGTTAATGTGCCTTTCATTTTTCTGTATCTTTGACACATTTTATTACAAATTCTTCTTTACTTTTTTTTTTTTCCATGTCCATTGTGATCCATTTCATCAGCCCTGTGTCCTTTCCCTGTGTAGATGCTTTGGCTCAACTCCATGATTACTTTTGTAAATTACTCTAACTTTACTCTCTCTTACTGTAGTAAATCTGTTTTCAGTAAAAGCTTGGATATCTCAGATGCCAACCCCATACTGCAATGCAAGGAGGAGAGGTATAAACCACCGCCATGCGCATAATTTTTTTTCCGTTCTGAAGATGCACTGGCCTGTTATTTCAACTACTGACATTTAAGATCTTAAGAGCTTAGTTTGCTTGAGAGGGAACTTAAAAAAAAAGTGGAGGTTGCACGTGTAAATCAGAGTTTTTTCCTCCCGGTTTGGCCTCTCAGTTTTGGTAAAGCAGCGGCCCTCTGGCTCCCTCCACACACATCAAAAGCATCTTATCTCCCTTATTTTGCCTTTCATGTTTCGTTTGATGTCTGGCATTTTTGTCCCTTGGTAGATCCCAAATTGTTAATTTCTTCCCCTCGTTCTTGTTTTGCCTTCAAGCTTTTCTTGCCTTCACCCTGGATGTTTGTTGTGTTTTTTTAGATTATTTCACATGCACTTACAGTAGGTGAAAGACAGAGGTTATCCGACTGTTTGTGTTCATCTGTTCAGGCATTTTTCTTCGACTTTGAGTTTCACAGTCCTGTCCCACGTCTGCATTCACTGAGACTGTTTGGTCTGCCAGATAATAAAACGGGCCTTGAATATTTCTTTATATATTCTTTATTTTATTTATTTTTATGTAATCAATGCATCGAATAGAGGTGCCACTGAATTAGGTATTGGTAAATGAATATTTTACTGACAGACTAGATAGATCAAACACATGTTTATGCATGTTTCCAATTCAAAATGTAATGACTTAATTAAACCGAAAAGCTCCCCTGCATCTTTTATACAATTTTAAACAGCATTTTTACAAGCAATAGTTATCTTAATATAGTTATAGCTTCATGTTAATGATGCACTACATATAAAATCTTCACAAATACTGTACAATGCTTAAACAGTAGAAATGTTACCTCGTATAGTTACTGTCCCCTAGTGCCTGTCCTTTCATCCCATGAATTACTTTATTCCATAGTCATTTATTACACATATAAAGAGCTCTCTTCCTGACACTGTGTTTTGGCTAAGCTAATTAGCTGAATGCAAGAGGCATATAATGAACATCAGCATTGTGCTGAATCAGGCCATGGCGTATGTGGCGTTGTGATTTTAACGCTTGAATGATCAGAGACAGTTTGAGACCACCGCATAATTCTCATCTATGTAGCATTTGCAAATGTAATTGATCAGTTTATGGATAGAATTTTTCCTGGAGTCAAATCGTGTGAGTCTGAATGTTGACACCGTTAGGGATGATTTACTGTTTCAATTTGCCTTGATGACAAAACCCATTGTGTCCACGGTCAATTAAATCCCAATCATTTACTGGAGAACTACTGAAGCTCACCATCTAATACACAATGAGGTTTGGAAGAACTCAGAGTCTCATACAGAACCTCGTAAAAGGTTGTGATGGCCTTTTACATTCTTAGGATGAGAAATGATAAATTGCTCAAATTTAATAGCAACTCAAAATGTAAAAATAGCATAATCAACAAAAAGACCTATAGGCCTACATAGAAAGTTGACATATAATTAACAGAAATGCGAGATTTATAGTGAAACATAGAGAAATTGCTGTCCCTGTCCAAGTATAAACTCAATTATTTAATCATGTTTCACTCACACAACATTCTGAAACTCCTATAGAGTTATGACAGCAGAAACCTTTTTACTATGTATGTTGTGCAACTTTAGGTCCCGGTCCATCAGCGGAGCCTCTTCTGGTCTGTCCACTAGTCCCCTCAGCAGTCCTCGGGTAAGCCCTCCATCCATACTAAATCTTTTGTTTTACACAGAGAGTCTGGTTGTGTTGAAACCCTTAGCCAGCTGGTTTGGCATCTATCTGCAGAATATGCATTGGTGAGAAACTCATGGCAGAAGCCACATCTGTTAGATCTATAGACATTCAGCATGAATATATGCATAGATTGCATAATGCAGGGGTCTTCAACAGGTAGTACTGCTGGGCGTTGTAAAAGTATGTATTTTCAACAGTTCAGAATCGTACAACTGTTTGGCGTCAGTACTTTTTTTTTTTTCAACAAGAATGCATTGAATTGATCAAAAGTGACAGTAAAGGCTTACATTGTTACAAAAGCTTTTTATTTCAAAACAGTGCAGTTCTTTTAAATGTTCTATTCACCAAAATTCATTGTGGCTTTCACAAAAAATATTAAGCAGCACAATTTGTTTTCAATATGGATAATAATAAAAAATGTGTCTTGGACACCAAATCCGCATATTAGAATGATTTCTGAAGGATCATGTGACACTGAAGACTGGAGTAATGCCGAAAATCCAGCTTTGTCATCACAGGAGTATATTACATTTTAAGTTATATTCATATGTAAATCAGTTATTTTAATTTGCAATAATATTTCACAATTTTATCATAATATTTACTGTATTTTTAATCAAATGAAAGCAGCCTTGGTGAGCATGATAGACTACTTTCAAGACATTAAGAAGCCCGAATTTTTTAATTGTAATGCATGTTTATAAAAGTATTTGAATAGATTAATATGGTACCATATGCATTGTTATTATTAGACATGGTTTAAAACGCGACACTAAATTTGATCAAATATGTAACAAGAGGACCCTGCTCTGTCTCTCTGTCCACCAAGGGAGTCCTTGAAGACCACTGACATAATGCAATATGTAAGATTAATTCTCAGAAATGTTAGTGATGATGGAGCTTTAATGATAATTTTGTATATCGGTAGCTTTGTTAAACAAAACAGCCAATTTTGTATCGCCTATAAGCTGAAATACTGCAGCAACATTGCTTTCTGCCGCTACCGATCCACTGCTTCTAGCCCAATCAGTCTACCACGCTTGGCATAATTGCTGCTAATCTATGCCCTATTCACAGGCTTGTTGCCTTGAAATATTTGAAGCCCGAGTCACTAATGGCTTGTTAAAATCCCTTCTGAATATGCGCTGCATCTGCTGCCTACTTATACTCACGCTGTGATCAGCGGCAGCTGGATGCAATTATTGCATGCTAATGTGCATTGGCTCGTTTAGTTTACACTCGAAGTAGATTGGTCCCTCTAAGCGAGATCCCAATTCGTCGGTCATCCGACGTGACGTCGAGAGTGACCGACTGAAAGGGAACGTCTCGGTTACGTATGTAACCCTCGTTCCCTGAAGGAGGGAACGGAGACGTCACATTCCGTCGCCACAGCTCCTGTATCACCGCTGAGCGGCCGGGTCACCGGGTCGGCTCCTCAGCGAAAACCTGAATATGCGGTGCATCTGCTGCCTACTTATACTCACGCTGTGATCAGCAGCAGCTGGATGCAATAATCGCATGCCAATGTGCATTGGCTCGTTTAGTTTACACTCGAAGTAGATTGGTCTCTCTAAGCGAGATCCCAATTTCGTCGGTCATCCGACGTGACGTCTCCGTTCCCTCCTTCAGGGAACGAGGGTTACCATACGTAACCGAGACGTTCCTTACTAATGGTGAAGCCTCTGGATGTAGCCAGCTTTTACAGTTGATTTGTTTAAAGAGGCTAACCGATTACAAATCCACTACTAAGACCTCCCAATAGGCAGTTCTTGAGTTACATCAAGGAATTCCCTACAGGATTCATCCCAAAGTCAATTCTGAATCTGACCTGATCAAATATTCTGCAGTTTGAAATGTTGTAAATTTGGAGAATGTCTGCAGTGTCGCCCTTTCACTGATGAAAATGGCTCACATAGAGAACAGGCTTGGTGGAAGTAATTTGAATTAGTCTGTGAAGAACTCCTTGATACAGCTCATCTGAGATTAGTTTTACTGCTCAGACACAGACTTAAAGGTTTGTCATGGAAGAATCTTCCCTGTAGTATGAAAGAGCTTTAAAATTCAATTTTATTGCATTTGTGTTCTTCTGTATGCCGTGCTAGGGTTGCAGCTGGTACAGTTAACACTCCATTGTATTTCTTTGATGTTTTACAATATGCTTGATGAGCTTTTACTTCACTGATTGTAATCACACTCTTCACTTTTAGTGGCCTGTATTGAATCAGTCCCCTGTTTCTGACCCAATTATTATTATTATTAGCGTCATCTGTCAAACAGCATCCTCATATCATACCTCCAACAGCAGCATTGTACTCTATGCTCTGTTTAATGGCCAACTGCACTTATTTTCACTAGCCATTTTGATAGTGTGGCGCTATTGTCTTGAAAAACTCGTTAATTGAGGCAGTATATATTTCTGTGACTTGTATCACATGTCATTTCTACCTAATTTATGATGATTATTTCAATTGATATGAGGCATTCTGACAATAGCGCCCTTTAAAGCAAAGCTCATGTGCCTTGTACACATTTCCTGCTTGCTTAGTCAGTGCTGTCAACACCTCTTTTAAGTTCATCCCAACAACAACCCAGAGCTTTTTTGTTGCTAATTTCTGTTGCTGATTTTGATTTGTTTTGGGAACACTGATTTGGGAACATTTTATTTCCACTGTCTTGTTGCCTCTTTGCTGGTTGTGCTAATGGCATGTTTTTTCTTTCTTTCTTTCTGCATTTCCTCCCTCACTTCTCATCACCGGTGGCTTGTTCACCATCTTTTCATGTTTGGTGTCGGTGTGTGTGTGCTTCTGCGCCGTAATGCCTGTTGACTACGGGGTCGTGTGTTGTTTGTATGGGCTGCGTTGGCTCTTTTTATGCTGCTGGCTCGGTGCATGCGCTCTTACAGCCCATGCGGCGGTTTGCCGTTCCGCCACAATCCGCAGAACTCACACAGTCACCCAACCACAGCCCCACCCACGTGCCTGTGTCCCGGGTGAACGGCACAGGCCCCCACTCCCCCAAAACCTTTCAACCAAAGACAGTTGCTTGAGTGAACGTTTGGGCGGTGTTATGCAAATCTTCCCACACAGTGATGTAGACATGTGGGGGCGTGTTTAAACAAAGCATTTTAGGAGGGTGTGGACGAGTCTTAACTTTTATAAAGAATATATCTTTGGGTTTGAGACTTTAGTCTTTGCAACTTTAGGGATCTTATCTATTCACGATCAGCTTGTAACACTCCAAAGAGAAAGGAAAACTTGAAATCGCATCATATGACCTTTTTAAAACACTAAAAACTCAAATTAATTGTTTTAAATTATACAAGTGAATTTATTACAACATTATAATGTACAGTAAGAAAAATGGACATTCATTTTGAGATTTGCAAAAGACCACATTTAACAAATTATTAGTGATTTTAAATATTAAAGGGATCCTTTACTCAGAAATGAAAATTTTGTCATCATTTACTCACTCTCAATGTCGCTCCAAACCTGTATGACTTACTTTAAAGTTAAGTGTAAAATGGCATACACAATGAAATAATGAATTACAAGATGTCTAATGGTACCAATATGGTATGCATCCCTAATTCAACCCTAATTATGTATGGCACTAAAGCAATGATATGTAGGATCAGGTGTAAAATAAAGCACCATAGTCTATGTGCATATATATAGTAAAAAGCATTTAGGTGAAGGAACAATGCTTGCTAATCCTTTTTTATTGTGGTTTTCGGGTTGACGTTCCCCTCTTAGCTAGTGATATTCTCTAAGGACTGATTTTACAGATCGTTGGGTAATAAACTCAATGCTACTCCATTATCAGCTATATCTCCTGATATATCTAGTAATGATAATGAAAACTGCACAAGCATCTCCCCTCACCTCCAGCTGTTCCTTTTTCCCTCTTTTAGCGGGGAGAGGATTAGATGAGCTGATAGAGGGGGGGTTGAATTACTCTTAATCTCTGCAGGTTTGGAGTAATTAGCTGTGGTTAATCAGCATTCCCCTCCTCAGGTTGTGAAAGCCTAATCTCTCAGGATATAGAGTATGATGCAAATTCCACTGAGGCTTGTTCGCTTTGTCTCTTTCCAGTTCCCACACAAGAGGAAATGTCCAGCCTAACACCAGAGTCTTCCCCCGAGTAAGTATTAGCTATTTTCAAAGACAATCACGTAAAATATGCATTTTTATTAAATCCCAGAGTGTGAAAGAAACATTAAAATAATACTCAATTATAATTGAATTAAAATAAATGTTAGTTCAATACTCATTATTCTGCTAGGTGTGGGTCTAAATGTATCACCTTTTGTATAAACCTGAGCTGTTGAGAGTTAAATCACCAACACTCAATTAAAGCTTGCTTAATTAAGACACTTAACTTTTGCTTTTTATACTTCCTTTTTCTTCAAATTTTATTATGAGTTGAAAGGAGCTCTGAAAACTCTGCAGCTAAAGTTAATGTGGTGGTCCAAACACTGTTCCTGGCCCCATTAGCCTAGTTTGTTGCTGAAGACTTTATCAGGGAATAGTTGATCATGAATAATTCAGAGTTTTAGTTCCACTTAGCTTCACAGGCCCGCAAAGCAGCACCACGGTGGAAACTTTTTTCCCTCTTATTTTTCTGTTGTTTTTTTAAGTTCTTGGTGAGAGAGTGTCACAATATGTTGGGCTGGCTCAAAGATGGCCTTGATAGTCACTGACTGTGGTAAAATCCCTGTGATTTCAAGCAGGGTTTAGAAATGAGCCATATGCCAACATTCAAACCTCCACACAGGCTTTTGTCATGAAATGTTTTAGAAACTTTTGAACTTTTCAGTACTTCTCAGTTGTCAGCAAATGGTGTATCATGACAAACCCCGTCATGTTAATCTAGTTTACCAATATATCTGTTAACTCCCAAATTTTAAATGCAATGTGTAAATTAAAAGAAAAAAAAATGAAAAGAATAATAAAATTGATTTTATTGAAATAATTGTTTTTGAGGTTTGAATGGTGCTGCACACAATTTGGTCATATATCATATAAGTTTTGAACAGTTTGACAGCCCATGTAATGTCACTTTTTTCATTTCAAGTCATACATGTTTTCATTTCTTGCTGATTCCTAGAGACGTACCGACTGACTGACAGCTTACTAACTCCCATCTCGACAACGTTCAATGTTCTGCATTTCACTGCGAGAGAAAATTCAGCCAAGCTCTCTAGAAATGTCTGGAATATTCCTTAAAAAAATGCTTTATTTACTTTAGCCAGGAACTGTCAGGGGGGCTTCCACCATTATGATTTTTGTGAACCAACACTTTTGAAATGAAACTTGTATTTTGATGGTATGAAATCCATCTGCCAACTGTTCCTCTATACTGGTGAAGCTTTGACTTTTCACTTTTATCCAGCAAGGACGCATTACATTGATCAAAAGTGACAGTATATACATTTATAAGGTTACAAAATATTTCTATTTAAAATCATTTCTGATATTTTGAACTGTCCTTTCATTCAAAATTCCGAAAACTCATGGGTTCCATAAAAATATTAAGCGGCACAACCATTTTCACCATTGATAATAATTAGAAATGTTTCTTGAGTAGCAAATCAGCATATTAGAATGTTTTCTGAAGCATCATGTGACACTGAGTAATGTCTGCTGAAAATTCAGCTTTGCCATAACAGGAATAAATTACATTGTCAAATATATTCAATTAGAAAACAGTTATTTTTGTAATAATATTTCATAATATTACTGTTTACTATATTTATGATCAAATAAGCGTAGCCTTGGTGAGCATAAGACACTTCTTTCAAAGACATAAAAAAAACCTTACAGACACCAAACATTTCAGCTGTGTAGTTTATGATGATATGGCATATATGAAGAGTAGATAATGTGTTCTTGAGAATTATACAAATGTTAATCACACTGAAGAAATGTCAGTTCTCCATTACAGTATGTTTTGTATGTGACAGCATGCAGTGTTATTGAGACGTATACTTGTTTTATGCATAGTATGTGACTTGAGTGATGTTTGAATGTATTGTGTTGTCTTGTTTACTCATGCTTTTCTTCTTCACAGACTTGCCAAAAAATCTTGGTTTGGAAATTTTATTAACCTCGAAAAGGAGGAGCAGATCTTTGTGGTGATTCGGGACAAGCCTCTGAGCTCCATCAAAGCAGATATTGTACACGCCTTTCTCTCTGTAAGTCTCCAATGAATATGTGAATTCTTTCAACATTTACTCACCCTCATGCTATTCCAAACCTGTTCAACTTTCTTACATTCTTGAGGCTTTTTTTATGTTTCAAAAATGATGCAAAAGCACCATAGAAATATCAGAAGTATCAGACTTGTGTGCTATATTCCAAGTCTTCTAAAGCTAAGCAATTACTCTGTGTGACAACAGACCAGTATTGAAGTTATTCACTGATAATCTTCCGCTCTAGTGTGCTGTTAAGCTTTACTAAGTCTGTCAGCTCAGCTGAGTTGAACAAATCATTCAGACCAGTTTTTTGAACTGTATCAACTGACTGAAAAGATCTGATTCAAAATAGATTCATTGGCCAATCTGATATTGCTTAACTCATGAATACATGAAAGAGAGCCAAGATGGATGTCAAGATTTTCAGTGAATAGCAGGTTTTAGTCTGTTACTCACACAAATCATATGACTTCAGAGAACTTAAAAATGTAGCACACAAGTCATATAGACCACTTTTAAGGAGCTTTTTTGTCATTTTGGAACTTGACAGGCTAAGGTCTCCTTCATTGTCATTATACTGAAAAGAAGGCCCAGGATATACTTGAAAATTTACCTTTTGAAGAAAGTAAGTCATTAGTTTCTAAAGGCATGAATAATAAATACCCCTCTGGTGCTCTTTGGTCATTTTTGACTGAAAATGTATTTATTTATTTTATTTTATTTTAATTTTTTTAATTCATCAGAATGGCACAACACTTGGTAAATGTTTTGGCACTTGCTATGTGAACTAAATAAATAAATACAAATAAATCATGAACATGATTTGAAAAAGTTAAATGGTCCCTTGTACCCTTCGCAATCAATCAAAAATGACTGCATTGTAAACTAAAGCTCAGTTTTTGAGCTATCAACCTCAAATTTGGAAAACAAGTTGTTTAGCATTATATATATATATACAGTGGGTACAAATAGTTGTATCTCGGCCAAATATTGTCCTATTGTCATAACAAACCATACATCAATGGAAAGCTTATTTATTCAGCTTTCAGATGATGTATAAATCTCAATTTCAAAAAATTGTAGCTTAAAACCAAACCTAAGTCTGTTCTCCAAAACATTTATGGTTTACTACAGTTCAAGTTGGAAATTTCATTTTCAGGTCTCATAAAATAAAATTTAGTACCACGAAATCCCATAAAAAAAATTTAAATAAAAACATTATTGAACTAAAATATACTATATTCATTTCATTAAAAAAAATGGGGGGGGATAATGTTCATTTTGGGATGAAGGATTCCTTTAAGACATTTAAAACCTCTGTCTTTTTGTCTCAGATTCCCAGCCTCAGCCACAGTGTGGTGTCTCAGACGAGTTTCCGGGCAGAATACAAATCCACAGCTGGTCCCACTGTGTTCCAAAAACCAGTGAAGTTCCAGGTGGACATCACATATTCCGAAAGCACGGCTGCCACCAAGGAGAACGGCATCTACTCTGTCACTTTCACACTGCTCTCAGGTAACCATGCCGACAGTGAGAAGCCCATTTTGATTTCATAAACTTGCTGACAGCCAATAGAAATGCAGAGGGGTATGTGTGGGTGATGGAGAGGCTGGTTGATGATGTTGAACTTTGTCCCTTGCAGTGGTGAGAGCATTTTTTTCTCTCCCTCTCTCTCATTCCGCTAGCAATCCTCTCCTCCATTACACTCACCCTCTCTTAAAAAGATGCTGAAAATAGACAAACTGCTCTAGGGGGTAATGGAAAAAAAATTAACTAAAAGAGGCCTTTTTGCCTCCTGGTAATCACTATGCATTTTCAACCTGCTGTGTTTCAAAGGACAATCCGAAAAGATCCTGCGCTGCTAGTGCCGTTACTGCAAACCCTGTCCCTCGCTTTTTATTTTTATATTTTGCTCTCTTGGCTACACAAAGGGGATTGAATCTTGTTCTTAAAGTCACACATTTCAAAGTGCGTGTGTGTGTGTGTGTGTGCACGTGTCATAAACTCAGCCGTGGGCCGAATGCACCATAAAAATCAGCCTCATTCCATTAGATTTTATGAGGCTGCTGCTAGGGGGAATAAACCCAGGATGTGGCAGCATAAATGTACATTCATTTCAAAAGGCATGTACCAGTTTGTACAGGATCATTGCGAAACATTCAAATGGGTTTCTGTGTGTGTGTGTGTCCCTGGCAGGTCCCAGCCGACGCTTCAAACGGGTGGTGGAGACGATTCAGGCTCAGTTGTTAAGTACACATGACCAGCCTGGTGTCCAGCAGCTGTCTGGTGAGTGGCCAGTCACTCCACTGACACACCTCTTTCTCTGGCTCTCTCTCTCTCTTTCTGTTCTCTTACACAGCATCCTGAACATGCATGGCGCCTAGCCCACCCTTGTAGAGCACTGAACGCTGCACACACCCATCAAGGTCAAATGAGTCTTTCCAGTGTTTAAAATGGTTGTTAGAGGTGGTTTCAAAGACATTTTCAGGCCGTCAGATTGTTAATATGAAAATAAACTTCTCACAGGGTTAAATACAATGTATCCACCGTTCCATTAATGCCAGATGTGATGTTTGATCTAAAGATTCTGGAAATACACATTTGACCTTATCAAAGCACATTGCACAGAATTGCATTGCAAGGCACTGGCACACATGCACACACTCTCCTTAGCAGTCACACACACTCACAGAGCATGTTAGAGCACACTCGCGTGTATTAACAAGGGTTTATATACATATCCAGGAAGTTTCTTGCAGATACTTAAACCGAACCTGTGTCCCAAGTAAATTATCTGGCTTCAGACTGTTCATTCTAGAGCAGAAATGTGATGGGCTAGACTGTGGTTCCAGCTGGAGAGATGAAATGGAAAAAAACATCCTTCTCACATGTCTTTTTTGTGTGCATGGTGAAGAGCCTGTTACAGCACCCTCTGCTGGACAGCCCCAAATTCTTACTGTCCAAGACCCACCACCAGTGTAGCATTAAAGATGTGCCTTTTTCTCACCCTGTCAATCACGCCCTTCCCTTCCCCCGGCTTTGCCCTTCACCCCCTGCTCTCCCAGGGCTGTTGGTCATGGCGGCTGTTGAGTGAATGGGCATGAGAGCTTGAGTGTCCTTACTGACCGTGAGCAGACCTGCACAGCAATGAGCACCAGCATGCTTCACTCTCTCAACAGATGTGGCCACGTAATAAACATCTGTGCAAGGAGGTTGAATCACTGAGTTCATGCCGTTACTGTAAAATCAATGAGGTGCATTGAGAATGTAATTTTAGGCTGAATATTTGATTTGATTGGACATGTTACATTAATATGTCATGTTCCTTTGACAGGAAAGCGTTCAAAGGGTGGTAAGAGGTCTATTTTAACTCTTCTGCCACAGTGTACATCACTTTATCATACACACGCTGTCCAATGCGTGGCACTTAAACACAGAGACCCTTTAAAGGGAGTTCAGACATAAATGAAATTTCTGTCATCATTTACTCTCTCTTGTGTCATTCCAAACCCGTTGATCTTTGAAACACAAATCAAGATATTTTTAATGACACCTGATAGTTTTCTCTCCCTCTCTTTTTGGTCTATGCAACCAAAACTTTAATGCGTCGAAAAACAGAAGAGGAGACAAAATGAACAGATTTAATTCAGGCTTTTGTGTCTCTTCAGAAGAGTTGTATTAAACCACTCGATTCATATGGATTATTTTGACAATCTCTTTTTGTACCTTTGATGCATCAGAGGTTTGTTTGCACAAACTTTCAGTGGAGAAGCAGAAATCTCTTAGGTTTTCATAAAAAATATCTTCATTTGTATTTTGAAGACGAATGAAAAATCTTATGGGTTTGAAATGACATGAGGGTGAGTAATTGATGACAGAAATGTCATTTTTGGATGAACTATCCCTTTAAATTTGAAATATGCAGAGATGTGTGTGTGTGTGTGTGTGTGTGTGTGCATGATCTCACTTGATAGGACAATCCATGAAAGTTTAAATTCTCTAGAGTGAAAACACTTCATACATTCTTCATGTTGTTTTTGTCTCCGTATTCAATTCTTGCATCATTTTACTTTGTTTTTGTGGGTCAATTGTTGCATCTGAATCACTTTTGTGAAAGGCCTCATTTATTTAAACATTTAATCTGCAGCGCTTATGAATCTGTTCAACCAGGTTTTTAATTTAAAGGTGATGTCTGAGCTTTTATGTCAGTATGTATCATCTCAGCACCTCTTTTCTCTGAACATTTCTGTCATGTTGATCATTTGGGACTTTTACAATAGAAGTAATCATCTGTAGAATCACTGTATAATGAGGGGCAGAATCCTAACGGGACCTTGTTTTCTCAGCGTGACCTACTTATGTAGGGCCCTATAAATACAATATGAATATTAAAACAAGCAACAGTCTTGTATGTGTTTGCTCTTAGATTAATAATGATTTAGAAGAAAAACAGTAATTATTAATAATTATTAGTCATGTAATCTCACTAACATACACAAGATCTTAGCAAAAATACAATAAAGCCTTATTGTATAGCTCTAACTATACAAGATTCCATAGCTGTGGATCTTAATATTATGTCAGTTCAGATTGACTTAACCTAGTGGGGTTAAATTCAAAAATATTGTAGCTACAAATTTAATTTGATCATGTGTGTGAGACATAAATCCATTGTCTTTAGCCCAGAGCTATTTCACTGGAGCTCAGCACACGTCTCATAAGAGAAAAATAGCCATGCTGTACTGGTAGTTTTCTGTGTCTGCAATAGTTTACCCAGCATAAATCTAAACGGAGATGAACATTTGTAATGGCTCACAGTAGAAATGCTGAAGCATTGTCCTGTGTGTCTCAAAGCTGCCACAGCTGTCATGTCTCTTTGAGAGTCTCTTAGGTTGTGGCAAAGCTGCCTGTTTTCTTGGGAAGCAGCAGTTTCGAGCTTTCTATCATGATGTTGAGAGGAGTCCAGATTGTATTGAGAGACTCAGAGACAAGCTCTGGAACTAAGGCACTCTACTCTAGTGTTCACATAGGCCACGGCCTGCCATGTTACAGCTTGTGCTATCAGGCCGTTGCTGCTCAGTCACTTATGAAATTGGAAAAAGAGGTGATGGTTTGCAAGCCTGTGTTGGTGTCAAATATGGTGTGTAGTTAATCCTTCTGGGCCGGCTGTCAAGTGTATTCAGAATCTGCAACAATTTGTACCACTAAATTTCAATCCATTTATGAGATTTCATTTTTGGCCTTTGATTTGAATCAGAAATGATGAATTTAGCATGAATATATTTAGCTGTATACAGTATATATATATACCAGGGTGTAAATATATGCACTGACACTGATTGTATATAATTATGATTCATTACTAAATCATGCAATACATCATGAAATTTGTTCATGATTGCATTCATTTCAATTTTTTTTTAGCAACATTTATAGGGTCTAACATATGGTGCAAAATGATTTCTGAACAAATGGCTATTATAAACCTGTTCTTTTAAGTGAGTCAAAAACATATAGCACCACCAGTGTAGTCAGATTGGCAAACGAATAATTAAACATACAGCTTGTTTGATCTGATGAACGAATGATTTTCATGAACCAGTTCTTTAAAGTGAATCAGAAACATACAGCGTGACTAGTGTCATCTGATTTATAAATGAATGATTCTTATGAACCTGTTCTTTTAAAGGGATAATTCACCCAAAAATGAAAATTCTGTCATTAATTATTCACCCTCATGTCGTTCCAAACCCGTAAGATCTTCGTTCTTCTTCGGAACACAAATTAAGATATTTTTTGATGAAATCCAAGAGCTTTCTGACCCTCCATAGACAGCAAGGGTCCTACCACGGTCAGGGCACTGAAACGTAGTAAGAACATCATTAAAATGGTCAATGTGACATCAGTAGTGATGGCCGCTTTTGAAACACTGCTTCATGAAGCTTCGAAACCTTTGTGAATCATTTGTTTCGAAACAGTGGTTCGGAGCGCGTATCAAACGGCCAAAGTCACGTGATTTCACTAAATGAGGCTTTGTTACGTCATAACTGTTTCGAAACGTTTTGAAATTTCAATGGTTTGCCTTTGGGGGGCGATCTGCATGAACCCATGAATCATGCGAGTTCATTGAGATCGCCTCCCAGCGGCGAACCATTGAATCAGCGTCTATGGCTTCTACCTGATCTCGGATCAGTTTTATCAATTTGTAGACATTTTAACTAAACATTTGTGTAATTAAAAGGATGAGTAGTAGTTAACGAGTTAACAAGCTCTCCATAAAACAGACAAAACAAGCCCTGCATATTAATAATAATAATTTAAAAACATATTATTCACACATATTGAATGGTATATTATTGTAATTGCATTTAATGCATTATAATTTCAGTATGTTTTTGTAAAATGCATTTTTTATGCATGTTTTGACTTGAGATTTTGTTGCATTTACAGTTTTGACCAGCAGCAGCACCAGCGTGTGGTGTTTCGAGCGCTTCGAAACAGTGAATCATTTTGCGAAGCAATTGGTTCAATTGATTCGAAGCTTCGAAAAGGTTACTTTCTCCCATCACTAGACATCAGTGGTTCAACTGTAATTTTACAAAGCTGCTAGAATACTTTTGGTGCGCAAAGAAAACACTACCGCCATTATTGAGAGTAACACGACGCATGCACGTGATGCTGCTGACGCCTTGTTTACGAGCATAGGAAAGCACGTGCATGTGTTGTGTTACTCTCGATAATGGCGGTAGATGGTAACTCGGGAGAGAATAATTGTTGAATAAAGTTGTTATTTTTGTTTAGTTTTTTGCGCACAAAGAGTATTATCATAGCTTCATAAAATTACGTTTGAACCACTGATGTCACATGCACTATTTTGTCAATGTTCTTGGTACCTTTCTGGGCCTTGAACGTGGTAGTTCCCTTGCTGTCTATGGAGGGTCAGAAAGCTCTCAGATTTCATCAAAAATATCTTAATTTGTGTTCCGAAGATGAACGACATGAGGGTGAGTAATTAATGACAGAATTTTCCTTTTTTGGGTGAACTATCCCTTTAAGTGATTTAAAAACACAGTGCAACAGTGTAGTCTGATTCCTGAACAAATTACTATTAGGAACTAGTTATTTTAAGTGAGTAAAAAACATATATCGTGACTAGTGTTGTTAGATTTACAAACTAATGATTCTCATGAACAGATTCTTTTGAGTGAGTCAAAAACATACAGCACGACCAGTGTAGTCCAATTTGTGAACAAATGATTCTTATGAACTGGTTCTTTTAAGTTAGTCAAAAAACAATAATACAACAAAATACAATCCAACCAGTACAGTCCGATTCACAAATGAATGAAGCTTATAATCTGATTCTTGTAAGTGAATCAAAATAATAGAGCATGACCAGAGAAGTCAGATTCGCTAACAAATGTTTCCTTTGAACCAGTTCTTTCAAGTGAATAAAAACATACAGCATGAGCAATGTAGTCCAAAAACATGGGGAAAAAAAGAGTTTGTTCATAAAAACCAGTTCTTTTAAGGGAGTCAAAAAATACAAGTATAATACACGACCAGTATAGGCTGATTCTATAATTCTATTAAATTCTCATGTGCCGGTTCGGTTCTTTTGATTGAATAAAAAACACAGCATGACCGGAGTAGTCCAATTCGCATACCAGATTTTTTAAGTGAAGCAATCAGACAATTTTCATTGTCAGGTGTACCAATGCATTTTTACACCCCTAATGTATATATAGCTTACAGTATTTGCTAAATCCTTCATTCATGTATATGCACACAATTTGGGATATATATCCTGAATTTGAGGTATGATGTCTAATTAAGAACAAGTCTTTGACCATCTACCTTGATTTTCTTTGTAATGAATCAACACTGTCACATCTCTTTCCATTCCATCCAGTGATGATCACAGATCAGATGGAGACTGTTCAGCCACAGATACTCACTACCACAATAAGACCTTTGAGCAATTATACAGCTGTACTGTCAAACAGTTGAACATGCCTGCAGATGTGTGCTGTATCCATGTCAGTGTGTTCCGATACATGGCTTATTGTCTCCAGTTAATGCAGTCTCATCCTGCCTCTCATCATCTCATCTTGCCTCGTCTGTGATCCTCATTGTTCATGTATTTGTTCTCTGTCTCTCTCTCTTGTTTTCTTGTTCTTCTCCTCTTCTCCCGTCGGTGCACCCAGGCAGCCCATTGAGTAACTTCTTTGACGTAATTAAACAGCTCTTTTCAGACGAGAAGAACGGGCAGGTGTCCCATCCGCCCGGCACGCCCAAGCATGCCAACAGCAAGAGACATGAGCCTGAGCCTAATGACTCCAAATGTCCATCTGGCCAAGACAAAGCCAAGATGGCACCATCAGTTGGGACACAGGAACAACCTTAAAACCAGGAGAAATACTAGATTACTAGTTTTAAAATAAAATAAAAGAATCCAGTCATGGTGAAAGGATACTGAAAGGATGTTTTTGACTCAAGTTGGTTTTAACCAAGCCTCTACAAAGTTTTATATTATGGATTGAATACTGAAGTACACAAGTATTCGATTTTCACTTCACAAAAGGCACATACAGAGACACATGCCTATTTTTTTTCTCTCCAGTGTTGTTTGTTCTTCACGGTGTCTCGTTATGTTCTGTTTTATGATGCCTTCATTTATTTCTGCTACCAGGAATTATCCAGAAAACGTGTTAAAGCCCCAAGTCCTGCTCTTGCACAAGATTCATGTATGGCACATTGATGGAGGGCACATTACACAGGAAGTTCAGTGCAAGCAGCTGAGGGAAACTCCTCATTCTGATGCATCTAAACACCCCAAACACCAACAAGATTCCTCAACTCCTTCCTCCTGCAGCTACTGTACATACAGCCACACATGTCCGAGGATTTGGAGTGAAGCCTTAAAATAAAGATGTTTATGAATTCTCACTAAGCTAACCCACAATTCATCTTTTTATTTAAACATACTTTTCTTTTTTTTTTATCCTTGCTCGTCTTCTTTCCTCCCTTCTCTGCTGATGCACACACAAACACACAGACGTACATACCGGACATCGTTACAAATGGCGAATGGAGCTCTGGATATCATAATGCACGTGTTTGAGGAGTTGCCCTCGAGGACCGTGGTTGGATTGTATTCTTTTCAATATAGTCTTTCTTTGTGAAATGAAGAATTTTATGGACTCGGTATCATTGCTGTACAAGATTTGGAGATCATATTTGAAAAATGGTGGGGATGAACTTTGGGGTGGGCTGTGGACTGGGATACGGGGGGGGGGGGC